CGTAGTCAACCACAGGTGACCAGCTGCGGAGGGACCCTTCCTGGACGAGGTAACGGCCGTCCGGGGGGAAGGCTGCTGATCACCAGAATATCGCTCCTTCAAGGCCAAGCCGAGCACGCAGGGGATTCTCTATCATAAGAAGAAACTGCAGTCGGGATGCATTTTGCAATCTGTTCTATTTTTTTCTTCCATTTAGGGGTAAAAAAATAAAAAACATTCGAATGGTTCTTTCAGTCATTACTGCAAATGAGTACCGCTTTCTGCAGAACATCACTCCGTGACTTAACATTCAGTATTGATTCTGCCTGCTCACGGTCCGAAATCTTTGTCGTCGCCTTCGTCTTCCCACTGAGCTGCTTCTCTAGCGTGCAGGGCGAGCGCCAGCGCCTCAGACATGCCCGGCCTGCTGCGGGGCTGGGGCAGCTCCGAATCTGTCGTCAAAGGAAGTCCCGTTAACTGTGCTGGTGTCGGTGTAATCACCGCCCCCATTAAAAAGCCCCCTGCTATTTCAGTGTCTCCTCTGTCAAGTATTTGGAATGAAGTTACGTGTTTGTGTAAACCAGGAATGGTTCGAGCTACCACATGAGTTTCCATAGCTTTTTGTATTCCAGACATACAGTGTCCTAGGGGCTCTACGTCATTAATAACCTCTGCTGAGATTCACACCAAGATGTGCAGTATCTCTCCAACGTGATGTGATATTCCAGCCTGTGGCTGCTCCCGTAAGACAAAATGGCTCATTTACCCACAGAAATGACACTCTCCGGTGTACAGAAGCTTGCGATCAGCCTTCAGAAGTCACCACCGACCTTGCAACAAGCTACCAATCAGCACGTCCTATAGAAAATGTTTACCCCAAACCCAGTCTTTTTGTTTTCTCTTTACACAAGATGCTAAAATTCTGTGTCTCTTACATCACGCTGTTACATGTGGTGTCTGTACCACATCAAACATTTTTACTGAGCTGAGCTTCTAAGAGCTGCTTTCTGTGTTTCGCGTTTGTTGCTTACCTAGCGGGCAGCCGGTCCCCCTCAGGATCCCAGCTGAATAGGGATACTGAAAACAAAACGCACAAGCAGATTTAGGTCAACGTTTCCCTCGTGCCTGTTATCTTGTATGTAAAAAGATACCAGTTACCTCTCACGCAGCCGTACTCTCCAGATCTTAAGCAGGTCTGTGAGTACGACTGTTCCAACAGCTATTCTGATTACATTTTTGTACCTGTTCAAATCAACCTTTAAAATCATTTCTGTACATACAGGATGTCCTCTTTGTTCAACACACGCCCATTGTCTGTATTGTGGCCCAGGTTCTACATAGGGAAATCGAGCGGAGACTTCCTTGGTTTGACCACCTCACCTCGTGGGATGCATTTTGATTTCTGTCAGATGCCCTTCCTGGGTAGCCCGGCACTCGCTGGGCAGGTTGCCTGGACGGGCCGTATGACAAGGAGCTTCTCTGAAAGACAGAATATTTGGCATTAATAGTGTATTCTGGCCTCCAGTCGCGACTTCATGGTCAGCGCTACTCACACCCAAGGCTATTACCCTTGTTTTAGGGAGATGCCTCTTCTACTATATCCACAATGAGATTATTCTGGCATCTCCTTTTCAAATCCGACCTTAACAATTGCAAGACTATCCACGTTTTGCAGGCCGTCAAACCCGCCCCTCAGGGGTCCCAGCTGTGACCCTGGACGTGGCCACAGGGGTCTCCAGTGTTTGAAAATCCCCAGCACACAGAAAATGCCCATTCACTTTAAGCTCCCCTCTTTACAGTCAATATTTATATTTATTTATCACATATGTATTTGTATTTATCAATTATCATCAATATTTATTGATATTTATTTATATTATCACATTAATGACGGCCAGTCATACAGGGGGATTTGTTTTTCTAGGGGGAGGGAAGGGAACCTAAGAAACCCTTTTCCTTCACCAGTATGTAGGTCAAAGAGCTTTCACTCAACCCAAATAAAAACACTGCACAGCACCTACATGTGCACATTCTAACGCTAATTTGGTGGCTCAGCAGGCGGGACTGACTTGAAAAATAAATTCAAGTTTAAGATGCTAGATGTCTATCTGGATGTTGTATGGGATTTAAAATGCGTTAGGTCAAAGCACTCAGTTTGACCTCAGCTGAAAAGATTGGGCGGGGGGGGGGGGCACAAACCATAAACCCCTAAGGAAATCCAGTCTAGGCAAGGTTCAAGTGTGGCCGAAAACTGCACTCCTAGATTAGGAATGTTTTCTTGCACTTTCATAATCATAAATAATGTCTAGTGACATAT